CCTTCCGAGTAGCCGAAATTACAGGCATGCACTACCACGCCCGCCTGATTTTTTGATTTATTGTAGAGATGAGGTTTCGCTGCCCAGGTGGGTCTCAAACCCGCGGGCTCAGGCAATCCACTCACCTCAGCCTCCCAAAGGCGCGAGATTACAGACTGAGCCACCGAACCCGGCGGGAGGTCAATTTTTAGATCTGTTCATGGACCCCTTTTTTCCCAGGGTATCTCTTGGGACTTGAATTTGATAAACTGCCTAAGCCTCAGCACCTGGCCATTCCCTAGACACTGGCCCTCTCTGGGCCTCCATGACACCTTTCCCATCTGGGGGCTTGAGAACCCAGAGGCCTAGCATGGCTGCTTCTCTTTGGACGGGCCCAACTTCCTGGGGTGCCCTGGGGCAAGTGTGGGGGAGCTGAGCGTCTGCTCTGACACCCATCCTATCCCACAGTCATACTGTCTGAAGGTGAAGGAAATGGACGATGAGGAGTATAGCTGCATTGTGAGTACGGGGAAGGGGAGAGCGGAAGGGGGTCATGCATCTTCCCCACCTGCCTCACAGAGCCCCCAGAATGTCCTGGCTCTGCTGACAGCAGGTGCATCAGTCCTTCAGGGGCTTGGCAGGACTCTTGTCCCTGGAGACTTGGAGTCAGCTCCCAACCCCTTTAGGCCTCAGGGTACTGACCTACTTGTCATGGGAACTCTCCCACCCCTGCCCCTAGGTGCTGCCCTCCAGAGCTTGAGGCTCTTGCAGAGAAAAACAGACTTTCTCTACTTCTAAAAGATACTTTATTGTACATTTTTAATGTGTTGCTGTCAGGTCCCATCTTACAGCAGTGTTCCTTTATTTAACACGGCAAAGGCTTGGGTTTGTTGTCATTGTCCCTCTCCAAAGCTGTCCCTGAGTGCTTCTAACAACCTCTGGTGTCTCGGGACGAGGACTGCGGTGGCTCTGAAAATGCAGTGGGTGCTAGGCTGGAGTGGGTGGGTGGGTGCTGCAGCCTTCCTGCCCCTGCCCTGTCTGGCCCTGAGCAGGGCCCCCTGTTCCGCCCAGGGCCCCTAATGCGCTCCCCTGCCCCAGGCCCTAGGGGAGCACCTGTACCGAGTGAGCACCGGCAACTATGAGTACCGCCTGATTCTGCGCTGCCGCCAGGAGGCCCGCGCTCGTTTCTCCCAGATGCGCAAGGACGTGCTGGAGAAGATGGAGCTGCTGGACCAGAAGCATGGTGAGGGGGTGCACGCTGAGACCTGGGGTCATGCACCACCTCAGTCTTCACAGTCCTCAGTATGGGGCTGCCACTTTCTCCCCATCTCAGAGGTTTGCAGACTGGGGCCTAGAGAGGTCAAGTGTTGGCCTGAGGTCCCGGGCTGGACCACAGCAGAGTTAGACCCAAGATGTAAAGCCCCAGCAGGAGCCCACCTACCCCACCATGGGCTGACCTGTGTCCTGAGGGCTCCGTGGGGTTCAGCCCAGGATTCATTCTCCCTGCAGCCACCTCTGTTCCCTGCACTGGGAGGTAGAAGCCTGGGTTCCTCCGGGATTGGAGGGCCCTTGCCTCTGCTCCTTCCTGGAGCATAAAGAGGTCAGGGAGGTTCTGGGAAGCCCAGGGAGGTGGGCTGGGCGGGCTCAGAGGCCTCTGCCACAGGCGGGCAGCCAGGCCTACTGGTGCCTGTCCCCCCACCACCCAGTCCAGGACATCGTGTTCCAGCTGCAGCGCTTCGTGTCCACCATGTCCAAGTACTACAACGACTGCTATGCAGTGCTGCGGGACGCCGACGTCTTTCCCATTGAAGTGGACCTGGCACACACCACGCTGGCCTATGGCCTCAACCAGGACGAGTTCATGGATGGGGAGGAGGAGGAGGATGAGGATGAGGACACAACAGCCGGGGAGCCGTCCGGGGATACACGAGGGGCTGCTGGGCCCTTGGACAAGGGTGGAAGCTGGTGCGACTCCTGAGTGCCCCTGCAGGGTGCAGCGTGGGGGGTAGGGTGAGTGGGAAGACAGCATGGGAGCAGGGCGGGGCCGCCGCACAGGTGGCACATAAAGGCCTGTGGCTTGGGGCCCTGCCTCCCTGCTCCTCTGTCCTTGCACAGTGAACCTGGGCTCCTGCCCAGGAAAGGTACCTGGGCCACAGCCTGGGACCTGGACACTGGCTCCCTCTGCCATCCCTGGCCCCCGCCTGCTCCCCAGCCAGAGGGAGAGCTTGGTTGCTGGACCTGCCTTAGGAAGGAGGACGAGGGCAGAACGGTGGAGGGGTGGAGGGGGCAGCAAGCCCAGGACCCTGTTCTTCATGGGCACTTGCGTTGCCCCCCCCGGAGCCTGCCGGGAGGGGGCCGGGTGGATGGCTGAGGTCGGGGTTGGTGTCCCACGTGCACTTTGGCCTGCCCCAGACCGGCCCGTCCAGTCCACACTCACACCTTGGCGGCCTTTATTTATTTTGTTCCCCTAGTCCAGCCGCTTCTCTGGTAAGGGCTGGGCGCTGGGCCTGTATTGAATAAACACAAACCCGATGGAGCAGTCTTGGCGGCACTCAGACCCTCCTGTCTGCCTCCCCGATCATGGGGGAGGGCGGGAAATGGTGTCCATTGATAGTGCCCTTTCCTCTCATCATCAAGTGCTCCCCACAGCCCGTGGGGTTAGCACCATTGTCCCCACTGCAGCGGGCACTGTGAGGCTCAAGACAATGGACACAGTGGGACTGGAACTTGGATCTGTTGGGTTCCAAATACTGGCTTTGCCATGTGGCTCCACAGCTTCCTGCTTTGCGGAGCCCTTTCATGTCCTCCCTCGTCTCTGACCCTTTGGTGTTTCTGAACACAGAGCTGGCCTTTCTCTGGGGAAGGGCAGGACAGACACTGGGTCAGGAAGACCTGGGGCTCTGAGTGGGGGGAGATTAGTGAGGGGAGAGGAGCAAACGTAGGTGTGCCTGTGTTGCCCAGGCTGTGAGGGGGCACTGATGCCCACCAGTGCTCCGTGTCCGCCTCGCTGCCAGCTCCAGTCCACACTGATGGTCCTGGTGTGAGCAGTCACAGTGGCCCGGCGTGAATGTGGTCATCCTGAGAACGGGAGTGTGTGCGAGGTGGGCAGTGTCCCAAGTAGAAAAAAGGTTTCTGCTTATCAGTGTGAAGTATGCAGGTGCTGAAGAAACCCGGATGGCAGTCTCAGGCAGGAGTGGGGCAACGGGTAGACTGCACCAGGAGGCCACCTGGGTCGTGCAGAGCCGTCAGACCACACCACCTCTCTAGGGGGCAGCCAGCACAGAGGCCGAGGGCACAGGCTAGAACCAACAGCCTGAGTTCCAACTGTGGTCTGTGACCCTGGTTTGGTTCCTGACCTCCCTGGGTCTGTTTCCCTGTCTGAAGAGTGGTAGTAACCTCACTGGGTTATTAGGATTAAATGAGTGGACATTTGTAAATGACTTAGAACACTGCTTGGCACAGGTCCTTCAGTGTTTGTTAACTAAAGTCAAACACTTGCTGCAACAGCGGTGCCAGGGAGACCACATATGCAGGATAAGTAAGCCAGCCAGGCCTCCGCAGGGCTCTGCAGACCTTCCCGGGGCCTGGGTGGAAATGAGGGCCAGTCGGGGCAGGGGGGAAGGGAGGTTGCTGTGGGCCAGGCTCACTGAGGCCCAAGGCTGGAAGAAGGCCAAGGCTGCGGTGGGAAGGCCGTGTCCTTTGCGGGAACTGCTCACCATGCCCATGATGTGGAAGGGCAAGAAGGGAGGGGTGTGTGGTGCATAGGGAGAGGGAATGGACCCCCAAGCCTACCCAGCTGCAGGGAGATAGATCCCACCTGGATCCAAGTGCAAAGACAAGAGACCCTGGATTTTCCCATGGGAGAAGACAGGTGTCAGGGTCGGCAGGTGACCAGGCTGCCACAGAGCCACAGTGGTGTTCTCAGAGCATGGGGTACAGAGAAAAAGCCACTGGTCCCTGACCCTGCAACACTCGAGCTTATCCCCTAGGGGGAGAGTGGCCCTCTAGGAAGGTGAGGGGATGTGTCCACCTCGTGGAAGGCAGCAGGGCCTGTGCCATCAGTGAGCACCTGGCCCGCCCTCCCCAGCACACCACAGGACAAGTCACACTCAGCCTGCAGCTCTCAGGGAGAGGCAAGGACAGGCTGCCACAGAGCCACAGTGGTGTCCACAGAGCACGAGGTGCAGAGCAAAAACCACAACCCAGCCCTGACCTGGGACCTGTGTGCTCTCAGACTGCTCGGGCCTCCTGCCTGTGAGCAGCCCCCAACCTCGGACCCTACTTGCTACCAACCCCTCATCCCCTCCACGGGAAGATGCAGATGTCAGCCATTAGGGTTTCAGTGCAAGGTTCTGAGCAGTGGGCTAGGCAAGAAGCCGAGTGCCATGCCTGACCAGCCCCGTGCCCACCTGGCCCCATGCCCACCCAACCCGTGACTCTCCACCTGGGAATGCCCCCCTCCCCTTTGCCTCCAACACTTTCTCCTCTAGCCCTGCCCATCTCCAGGATGGTTCAGGGGCCCTGGGAGACACCGCTCAGTCTCTCCCACCCCCCTGCCCCGGACTCAGGTGGCCACTGGGGTCCTGGCGGAGGCGCAGGAACAGACCCTTGGTCGTTCAGCTGAGCTTTATGGACTGGAGTTCCTGCTGGTCCGCAGCAGCTTCACTGGTGAGGGAGCAGGCCTGGCACGGCCCACTGGGCGGGTGAGGGAGGCGGTTCCCAGACGCCCAAGGAATCAGTGGGAGCCCAGCCCAGGAACGACCACCCTAGACCAGCCTCCCACCTATCAGGCCCTCTGAGAGGAGGCACCATGTTCCCAAGTCACTGGGCCATCCCACTCAATGCACCCCGAGCTACACAGACTCAGGGGCCAGTCGCGGCTCTGCCTCCACCTCTGGTTCCTGGACCGTGGCCCGGGGGCTCAGCACTTCCAGGGCTTCAAGGCTGCAGGCTTCCTCTGAAACGGCTGGCAGGGGATCAGGGGCCCCTTCGGCCTCAGCGTCCTCAGTGTCGCTGGCCCCACCCTCAGTGCCTGGGCCTGACGGAGCTTTCTTAGAGCGACGCAGGCAACACTTGGTGGCGACAGCCATGAAGACCCCCGCCAGGGCCACCTCAGAGCCGGCCAGGTAGAAGATGATCTCGTAGTTCTTCAGTGCATCCACCAAGCGGCCTGGGGCGGAGGGTGAGATGAGGAGGTGAGGGCCTGACGGGTCCCTCCCTCACCTCCCTGCACCCTGAAATAAATGGGGGGGGGGCTGACGTCCGGTGGGGCTCACATACCCCACCTTTAATCCTATTTTTTAGGTGCAAAACCCCACGTGGGTTCTGCCATTTGAAATCTTTTATTATTATTTTTTTGAGTCAGAATCTCACTCCGTCGCCCAGGCTGGAGTGCAGTGGCACACTCACGGCCACCCCAGCATTCACCTGTTGGGCTCTGGTGATCCTTCTGTCTCAGTCTTCCAAGTAGCTGGAACTACAGGCATGTGCTACATACCCGGCTAATTTTTTTCAAATGATTTATTGTAGAGACAAGGTCTTGCCAAGTTGCCTGGGTGGGTCTCGAACCCGTGGGCTCAGGCAGTCCACTTGCCTCGACCTCCCAAAGTGCTGGAATTACAGGCT